TGTGTGTGTGTGTGTGTGTGTGTTTGTCCCCATGGGAGGGGACAGCCCTGGTCCAGGGACAGCGGGCTTCAGCGTCGGAGCGAGCCTGGAAATGACACAGGGGGAAGGGGGTGAGGACCCTGCAGGGCCCCCCCAGGGATGACCCTGCCCAGGGGGACCCAGCCAGAGCAGAGAGGAAGGAGAGGGCTGCACTCCCCAGCAGTGCAGACCTGGGGAAGCCTGAGCTGGGGGTGTCCCCAGCACTGTCTGAAATCCCACACTCACCCTGCTCAAGGCTTCTTCCTTTTCAGCTTCAGCGCCTGCAGCCAGTGGGGGGGAGAGGCCTCGGATCTGGGGTATCGGCAGAGCTTCAGCATGAGTCCCCCAAAACCAGTCTGACCCCTCAGCCCCCCTTTTGCCTCCATGTGGAGGATCCCGGCCCCACACTCACCCTGAGGATTTCTCTGGCTTGGGGGGCAGGGCTGGGGGTTTCACACCAGGGATCTTGCAGGACTTGGAGCGCTGTACATGGGGGTCTTTAGGAGGGGTCCCCTTGCTGTCCCCTGATGATGTCCCCTCCTCAGCCGAGCGGTTGCGACCCCTCAGCTTCGCCTGGGGGAAGAGAGGAAGGTCAGGGAGAAGGGTCAGGACAGTGCTCTGTACCCCAAATCCCCCCACTGCCTTCTCTTTGTCTTTAGCCAGGCCCCAGCCCCCCACTGCCTTGGTTTCCCTGCGTTCCACCCTGCCTTCCACCCTGCAGCAGGAGTCCACGGGACTCACCTTGATGGCAGAGGCACTGAGGCCGGGAAAGAGCGGCACCTTCACCCCCCTGCCCGAGGACGAGCCGCGCATCCTCCGGCTCCGGGGCTCCTCTGCTGCCTCCTCGTCGGAGGACGCTGCTGGGGCTGGCCGGGGCTCTGCGGGGACACAGGGACAGTGTCACCACAGCACTGCCAGGACAGACACCCTGCTCCCATCCCCATCCCTGCTGGGCTCACCCGTGGAGTCCCGGAAGATCCAGCTCTCCCCCTCGGTGGTGGGGCGCAGGGACGGTGCCCGGTGCTGGCGCTTGCGGCCCAGGCTGGCCTTGCAGCGGAACACGCTGCTGTCCAGGAGCTCTGTGTCCTGCCGGGCCCAAGGGACAGGTCAGAGCTGGCACAGGGAGCCCAGGGATTCCCCCACCCCAGCCAGCACACCCACAGGGGGCCCCACAGCAGTGCTGGGGGCCCTCAATCTGTGGCTGTCCCTGAGGGCAGCAGGGTCTGAGAGCCCCATCCACAGACACATGCTGTGTCCCAGGCCATACAGGGTGATTGGAAACTCCCCACTTCCACTCACCTCCAGAAGAGGAAATTCCTGCCCCTGCTCCATGGACCCCTCGGGCTGGGGGGTAGTCAGTGAGAGCCGCTGTTCCCCCCAGCTCGAGGAGCTCTCCCCGTCTGGATGGTCTGAGGGCTGTTCCTCATTTCCTGTGTCCATTGGGATCCTACTGGCAGCCTCTGGCAGCAGAGGGGGGACCCTGGGGCTCTGTGGGGCAGCAGCTGGTTCAGAGGGATGCCTCTCCTCCTCAGAGGGGCTGGGTGACTCACTCCGGGGGGGCTCCACAGCTGGGCAATCAGCTGGAATGTCACCCATTGAAGGGCTGGGGGCTGACCTGCT